TGGTTCGTGAGTTTGAGCACCGTGTCAGGCTCTTTGCTGTCAGGGCAGAGCCTGCTTCAGATCCTCTGTCTCTCTATCTCTGCCTCTCCCTGCCTCTGTCTCTCAAAAATAAACATAAACAATTATATATATAAAAAAAGATAACGTGCTATGAGAGCATGCAAAAGGAGATTGATCTCTCAGAGGAACTGGGGAAAGCTTTCTTGACTTAATGACCTTTGGTGTACGGGCTGAAAGATTAGATGGTAGGTATAAACCGTCTTGAGTGGGAGCTGTTGAAGAGCATGCATAAAGCTCCTGAGATTAGTAGAAATATGTTTAAGAAATTTAAAAAAAAAACAAAACTCATGAGTCAGGAAAGAAAGAGATATGGAAATGACCCAAGATGGGGCTAGAGAGGAGGCAGAAGCCAGGCAAAGCCTTCCTTGTAGATTTTCATGATATTGGTCTTTACCTCATGTTGCAACAGCCATTGTAGAGATTTAAGGAGGGAGATAATAGTGAAATGTGCATTGCAAAAGCATCACTCTGGGTAAGAAGGTAAGCCAGGACATCAGCTGGGATGTTTCTGCAATGGTTCAAGAAATAGGTGCCTTTGACTACGGTGGTTGCAGTGGGTGTAGACAGAGTGAACACACCTAAGAGATTGTTAGGAGTTTAAGGAATACAATATGTATAAGAAAAAATATTCCACACGATCAAAGGAATGCTTAAAATCAGTGTCAACAAACCCCAGTGCTTAGTAGAAGAATTAGAGATAATTTTTTTTTCTCTTTGTCTTCTATCCTCTTCTGTCAGTTTGGCTTGTTTTGCTATTAGAAATCTGGCTGAGTGAAGGGATTCAGAATTCCACTGAAATAAGAAGGTTTTCTGAGGGTGTGATCTGTTAGTTAAAAAAATCATTTTGACAATTCTTGACTAAGCTATGTGCTTCCCTGGGATAGGCCCAGAGACATGGCCTCTAGATTGGCCTCTACCTTTGATATTCTCATTGTCCAATCAGGGAGACCTGTCCACAGCATCATGTTATATAAAATACCATGGCTATTGAAGGGTTAATTATGAACACTGTCCTGTTGGGGGGGACGAGGGTTAACGAGTTAAGAGAGTAGCTGTGGAGCCTGGGTTTGAATCTGGAAATATCCATTTGCTATCTTCCTCTTCTAAGTTTCCTAATTGCCTCATCTAAGACATAGGAGTAATAATACTGGATTATTCTTAGGTGGTTCTAACAATCCGATGGCATGAGACATGAAAGTCATGAATTGGCAGATGTAGTCATGGCTTAATAAATACAATAAATGTAGCCATTATATTATTTCTAGGGGAGGGACTGGTAAGCCCTCTGAATCAGGAAAGGCTACACAGCAATGCTTTATATCATATTTAAAGGGTATATATAGTTGACCTTTAATAAGTGTGTGCTTAAGGCATAAATATGTTTTATGAAAGTAAAAGAATTTATTGACTACTTATTACATGTCAGGTACAAAGATATTTTCTCACTTCATTTTTGTCTGACCTTAACAAAGAAATACCAGGGGCGCCTGGGTAGCTCAGTCGATTGAGTGTCCTACTTCAGCCCAGGTCATGATCTCCCTGTCCATGGGTTCTAGCCCCACATCAGGCTCTGTGCTGACAGCTCAGAGGCTGGAGCCTGCTTCAGATTCTGTCTCCCTCTCTCTCACTTCCCCTCTCCCGCTCACTCTCTGTCTTTGTCTCTCAAAATAAAGACATAAAAAATTCTTTTTTAAAAAGAAAGAAATACTCTTACAGTGCCCATTTCACAGATGAGAGGCCTAAGGTCTCAAAATATCAGTCATTTGCCCAATATTACACAGTAAATTGGCAAACTGAAATTTAAATCCAGTCCAGACCAGTGGCTCCTGGGCAGCTCAGTCAGTTAAGCATCCAATTTTGGCTCAGGTCATGATCTCATGGTTCATGAATTTAAGCCCCGCATCAAGCTCTGTGCTGACAGCTCAGAGCCTGGAGCCTGCTTCAGATTCTGTGTCTCCCTCTCTTTCTGCTCGTCCCCCACCCACTCATACTCTGTCTCTCTCTGTTTCTCAAAAATAAATTATAAAAAGTTAAAAAAAAAATCCAGTCCAGACCAATTCAAAGCTTTGCTCTTCTATAAGTTTACAAGCTTCGTTATCTAAAAGTGCTGCTTAATTTAAACCAGCTTTGTTTATAATGTATTTGCTCAATCAGTGGATATTAAAAATACATTGCTATAAAGAGTCAATAAAATATTTATAGCATTTTATCTGAACATTTTTATAAATACTTATTATAGGAAATAAATACCTAGGGGAGCAAACAATATATTACATGGATATTCCAATTCTCATAGATGATTACTATACACATTTTGCCATAAATATCTTCGGACTCTCCTCCCTCAATGCACTGGTGTATGAGATGTATGTATAGAAACCTATTTTTTAATGATAAAAAATGAATGGGATCACACTGCACATTTTTTAACCTATGTTTTTTCATTAAGACCACATTATAAAACCCTTTGCATGTTTAGGTTGGTAGTGTGTAGCATAATTGATAGCAAATCGTAGAGACTCAGCAGATATTGGTGGTCATTGATTTTCATCATCATCATCTTGGAAAGTTGCCCTCTTGCTATGCTGTAATAATTTGACATTTCAACAACACAAAATTATTCTTTGTAGCACACCTTCACCAAATGTGGCTTCTACTTAATTTTTGTGTGTGTACTAATCTTGAGGGTTAAAAATGAAATCTTGGTGGTTCATTTTGCACTTATTTTATTGCTAATGAGGTTAAACATCAATCATTTGTATTTTTATTTTTTGAATTTTTTTCACTTGTTATTCTATTAGTTGGCTTATGGTTTTCTCATCTGTGTTTAAGAACTCTTTATAGTTATGATTTTTAAAAGATTTTATTTTAATTCCGGTTAACATACAGTGTTATATTAGTTTTAGATGTACAATATAGTGATGCTACACACTTCCATACATCACTTGGTGCTCATCACAGCAAATGAACTCCTTAATCCCCATCACCTATTTCACCCATCCCTCACACTCTCCTCTCTGGTAACCATCAATTTGTTCTCTATAATTAAGAGTCTGTTTCTTGGTTTGCCTCCCTCTGTTCTTTTCCTCTTCGCTTGTTTGTTTTGTTTCTTAAATTCCACCATCTAAGTGAAATCATGGTATTTATTTTTCTGTCTTATTTTGCTTTGCATATTACTCTTTAGCTCCTTCCACATTGTTTCAAATGGCAAGATTTCATTCTTTCTTTATGGCTGAGTGGAATTCCATTGTGTGTATACACACACACACACACACACACACACACACACACACACACCACCTTTTCATTATCCATTCATCAGTCGATGGACACTTGGGCTGTTTCCATAATTTGGCTATTGTTGCTATAAACATCGCAGTGCATGTATCCCTCTGAATTAGTACTTTTGTATTGTTTGGGTAAATACCTAGTAGTGCAACTGCTGATTTGTAGGGTAGTTCTATTTTTAACTTTCTGAGGAAATTTCATACTGTTTTCCACAGTGGCTGCATCAGTTTGCTTTCCCATCAGTGGTGCAAGAGGGTTCCCCTTCCTCCATTTCCTCACCAAACCTGTTGTTTCTTGTGTTATTGATTTTAGCTATTCTGACAGGTGTAAGGTGACATAGGTTTTGATAGCTTTTTTTTTTTCATTTGTAGTTTCGATTTGCATTTCCCTGATCAGTGATGTTGAGCATCTTCTCATGTGTCTGTTGTCATAAGTATGTCTTCTTTGGAAAAATGGATACTTCCATCCTCTGCCCATTTTGTAATTGATTCTTATGTATTAAGAATATATTGCAGCTATTTTCAGCAGCTTGTGATTTGAGTTTTTTACCTAGGTTTTAGTCTATGTTTTAAAATAAATCAAAATTAAGTGATTAAATTTGTCAATCATTTTTACTGTGGTTTTCTCTTTGGCATTTTACAAATAAATGTTTTATTCATATCTACGTAATATAGATACGGCATTTTTGACATTAAAAAGAGGTGTTCATTCATTGAGATTTGGGAATCACTGGTGTAAGGCATAAAGTCACACAGTGCATGGGTCTGTATCTCTGGTGTTAGAAAGAGAGTGAAAGGCTCTGTGCTTTGGAAGAGTTTCGGTGGCTGGTGGATGCTTAACAAGTTTCTTGCTTATCAAAGTCTGAAAATAAGGGTTTTCTTTCTTTTTGTTTTCATCTGCCTTTCTTGAAACTACAGAGCATTTTGTCTTTCAGGTAATCTACTACAAAGTGTAATACATCAAAAAGGGGCTCATCTTCATACTAATGTTGGGATTTCTGAGGCATGGGGATTAGTTACATTTTTGGAATTGTTTAGCTAATATAATTCGGATAGTATTGGATCAAATATTTCCACATCTTACACTGTGTTGTTCATAAAGAGGAAAACATTTTCATTTTTCAGAGGCATTTGTTTATATATAACACAATATTAAGTATGTAAATAATCTGCATGTCTTACTATAGACATGAAAGGATACTGACCCATGTACATATGGAATTCTGGCTTCTTTTATGAACTCAGTTTTAAATGTTGCCTTAAATAGTTCTGTGTTAAAAGGCCATTTAATTAAATGCTTTTATCATGAAATTCATCAATCAAAATAGAATGCCTCTCCCTCTATCAAAGAGATAATATGCCTTTTAAAAAGTTTTAAACATTTATTCATTTTTTTTGAGAGACAGAGAGAGACAAAAGAGCGAGCAATCAGGGGAAGGGCAGAGAGAGAGACACACACACACAGAATCCGAAGCAGGCTCCAGGCTCTGAGCTGTCAGCACAGACCCCGACATGGGGCTTGAACCCACGAACTATGAGATCATGACCTGAGTCAAAGTCGGCCACTAAACTGACTGAGCCACCCAGGTGCCCTGAGATAATATGCTTTTATGAACACATTTAACTGAAACTCTTTTTTTTTTTCTCTTCTAGCTTTTGTTTTTACCAATTTGACATCATACATGGCTACTGATGGCAATGCTCTTGTGAGTACCATTCAGGACACTGCAGACTTAAATATTAATTGTCGGTTTGATGAATGAGTAAACAACTAAGCAAGTGGATCTTGACTTTGGCTAGCTATTTATTTTCCTCCATTTCACTGGCCACAGTGAGATTCAATGGTCCTTTTATTGGGATTCAGGGATTTCTTAAGATCACCAAGCATTTAAGACTGCTGGCTATTTGCTCTTAAAGATCAAAATCATAACCATGATTTTAACATATGATACATAAATTATCTCTGTGTTTTAGGTCAAGTATGGTAATAGTGCAACTTCTCATGCAATGTCAATGAGAAAAATTCTGGTAATCACTATGCTGAAAGTTTAGGTTCTTTTGAAAATACTTTTAGAGCTATAAATTTGAATATTTAGGTAAATCCATTGAGCAAGTGTGTTATATTTATTGACTAAGGACACTTATGTAGAAAAGATTAAACAGTTGATATCATTAACATGATATTTCTAATAGGAGGGGGTGTGGGGTAGTGTGGGACTGTATAGTGTGTATCTTTTGGCAAATCTAATGACCTCATGATGGATGAATAGGATAGAGTTTTCAGAAGAGCCAAAAGCAGAACCAGAAGTGGGGTGTTGGGAGAATACAGCATAGACGTCTGCCAAATAGGGAACATGTCCATAGTTTCCTGATGCAAATTAGGAAATGGATGTCAAGGCAGGTTGTAGGAATAGTGATGGAGAAATGGAATGAACTAGAAAGCTCCTGGAAAGGACACCTTCTAAAAAGCAGGGCAGTTGATTAATTCTCTGCTTTGTTAACAATTTCCTATTCCAGAAACAGAGAAAGCAATGAGAGCACTTTAATTCTGATGCTAATTCTAAATGAGAAGGAAAAGCTTGTTAGTGATGAAAATGGTGGAAACTTTGGGAGACAGGACTGCAGAAAACGAAAAATGAAAACACAAATTATAGTTAGTTATTTACCCTGGGAAATTTGCCATCTAAAACTTGCAGAAAAGGAAAATGTGATCCCTTGGACACAAATGAGTAGGTGCTGTTTGATCGTAGAAATATGAATAGCCATGGTGAAGATAAAGAAGAGAAACACCTAAGAGAATAAATGTGGCTGCAGTTGGAGACTTGGCCAGGATTAAATATGAAGGTGTATGTGTAGGGTGTCAAAGGAAGGTCCCGTGGTAAAGGGCAAAAGAAGATGGGCATCACAGATTTGTAAAATAGTCAGGAACACTAACGTTTAGAGTACCTGGCATTTATAAAAATTTTTTAAAAAGAAAAAGTGCATATGATGATAAAGACATGTTCTATGGAGAGCAAAGAAATGGAAAGGAAGAACTGGAATGGTTAGATCCTTGAGAAAAGTAATGGGCGGTTTAATTCTTACATCATTTCCCTTTTCTACTGAAAGAACGTAGTGTTCCAACTGAAAGGAGTTCATCTTCTATGTTTAAGAATAAATGGAAACTAAAATAGTAAGAGAGCACTTAAGCACTTTAAGAAATTCATTCACTCATTCAAACATTCATTTAAAGTTCTAATTACCTCTCCGGACTCTGTTGTGTATCACCCATTGTGCTAGGTAGGAGCTGGAGATTTAATTATGGCTTGAAATGTGTTAGAATCTCCACATCTTAAGGAGAGTGTAACCCTGGCTATCGGAGCACACTGAAGATTTGATTACCAGAGGACTAACCTACCACCCACACAATTCCCAATGAGAGCCAGTACCGCTGCAATATGGAACCTGCTTCCCCTTGAACCTGGACACAGGTGGATTCTACCCTCGTTGGTGGGAGCTCTGGCTCTTTATGGGTCTTTCTTATTTCCTGAGCCATCCTCCACTCCCAGACCTAATCAGCTCAGCTCTCCTCCTGTGCCTGTTTACCTGTTATTTTTATCTCACAGCTATCAGTGTCTAGGCGGCACAGATAAACCTCTCTCTTAAGCATTTCTTCCAGCTGCTTTTCAGTGGTTACCCTACTTTATATTTCCATTCAGAAAATTAGTTCAATTTTCTGCTGTCATTTGTTCTCTAAATAAAATGTAGCACAAGAGACCTATTTTTATGCTAGGTAGTTTCAGTAGGCTTGACACATTTGACCTAATCACATCCCGAATTACACTTCATTTCCACTAACCTAACATTTATTGAGCTATATGTGCTGAGCACTCTGTTTGGTTCTTATGATGAGGAGCTTACCATTGGCAGGGGTGAAGGGCAGTACTTTGAAGGCACTTTTGTTGATCATGACCTGATAGTTACTGAGGTTGGTATGGTAAATTATGCCAATGAAACTGCTCAAGAAGCTAGAGTCTAAGCATCTGAGATTCTATTATGTGTGTGGTAGAATAGCAATTTTTTTGCTTAAGTTGAGTTGTTCATTATCTGATAGTAGCCTTTTCTCTCCTCTGAAAGAAACAACAGAATTTTTAGAACTAAAGCTTAACAGAGAACCAAACATATTCACTCACCAAGTTCTGCTTGTTTTACCTTCTTGGTATTTCCCCGCCTTCGCAGGCACAGCCCTGCCTTTCCGTCTCTCCGCTGGAATCCTAGCCTCTGCACCTGCCCTCTTCCAATCCACCTGTCATGCAACAGACTGAGTGAACTTTCTTTGCAAATGACATCGTGCCCCTTGCCTGCTGACATCTGTTCAATGGCTTCTCATTGACTTTTGGATAAACCTTATACTTTCAAATGTAACTTACAAGGTCCTGTGCGATGTTGGCTTTACTACTCTCAGTGTGGTTATTCCCCAGTACTCTGTGGTCGGTGTTTTCTGGTTCACACCTATATCCCTGTTTTAGAGACTCTCATGCTCAGGCCTGCATTCTTCAGGACTTTGTTTTTATCGACTTGCAGTGTACCTCCCCTGACTCCCTGGTCCTGGGTAAAGGCACTTCTGTGTGGACCTCATTATCTTTGTTCAATTCTCTCTTTTCTGCGTCTGACTGGAAGCTGTGTGAGAGCTTGGTTGCCTCTGAATCTTGGGTCCTTGGCACTGAGTAATTGTACAAGAACTGGTGGCTGAATAAACAAAAGCCACAATTTACCAAACTGTGGCCTGAAAGAAAGAATTAGCATCATCATCTCTAGGATCTGGGTCATAGCTTGTTGGGAAATCTACAACATAATGATTAGATTTGGCACAATCCCTAAACATCTCTAAGAATCCACTTGTGGTGTTCTCGATATTTATAAGGCTTTCTATACATCAAGCTGTGGTGATAACACAGTATTATATACTAACTCAGTATTGCTTATTTTTGTTATGATTAGTTTCTCACCAAAATAAAGAAATAAATGAATAAGCAAACAAACAAATCACAACTAGCACATATAAATCTTAAAGGCTTGATTAAGAAAGTTCTCTGTTCTCAGATTTTAGTAACAATGTTTTGGCTAAGAAAGGAAAATAGCCTTACCTTGAAGATGACAAGGCTCAGAGGGAATGCGACACACCATATCTTTTACTGTTGTATGTAGTTCTTTTACCTAAAGCTTCTGAGAATTCTTACTTTCAGGGATGACTCTCGTGGGGAGGAAATGGTCAGATTCATCTTAGATAAGAATGTTATAACAGCGGTTTCTCAAGAATTGTTTTAAATAAAATAATTTTATTAAATACTGCCTGAAAATAAAATGTCAAGTGAACACTTTGTCCTGAAACAGCAAACTCTGCCTATGAATCATGGTAACTTTGCTCAGTTTTCATGTTCAATGAAGACATCAGGCTCCTTGAATGGGGAGGGACATCTACGTCTGGTGCTGTGTCTGGGTTATTTGCTGTCGCCTGCACTGTTGTCTGTGGGATGATTTGTCTAACAGCAAACTGGCATTTGTTGTGCTTCCTTCACAAGAAAGCTCTGCATTCATTACTTACAGAATGTGTGGGCATCGTGTTCCGTGTGTGGTGAACAGTCTAGACGTGATTCTGGTCCCCATGGGGATCTGCCTGTTCCTCGCTCAAACTCTGTGCCCATAATGTATGTCTAAGGGCTGTGGTGATATTCGGAGATGAAGTGGGGAATTTATTTTGCACGTTTTTGATTAAAAAGAGCTCACTTTTTGGCAACGTCTTCATTTAGGCCACATGAACATAAGTGTGTGATGCCAACACTGCTGGGCACAGGCCTGGCTTGCAGATCGGACTTGGGAGGCCGTTTAACATAGTTGCCATTCCTCGTAGGACTTCCAGTGAAACAGTGCCTGACAGCGGTCCGGGGAGTAGATTACCGGGTAGGGTCTTGCCAACTGCCACTGGAAAACTTCTGTCCCTCCTTCCAGTCTTCTTCTTTTGCCCCATGCATTCTTATTTCTTTGGTTTCGGATTCTTACTATTTGGGGGATATGGTTAAACACGATTCTGGAGAAAGGTGCGATAGTTTTTGAAGAAATGGTGTTTTAGATAAAAGTAGAGATTTGTTTAGCACGAGGTTATTTTACCTTCAAGGAAACATCAAGGGTCAACACTGCAGGTGGGGTCACATTTAGTGTCAGTCAATACCAGAAGTTTTTCTCTACACATGTGCTGCTTTGCGGGGCGGCGGGGGGGGGGGGGGGGGGGGGGGGCAAGGAAGGTATTGGGGCCAATCTTCATGTTGCTTAGCTCTGCTGATGTTATTTAGTAGAGTCATTTTTCAGCTCTATGTAACCTAAGCAGTAGATGTCTTTCCAGATATTTGTTAAATCTCCATGTGTGTCAGGACTCTTAGTAAGGTGGCATGTGAAGTAAAAGTTGACATAAGGCACTGTTAATCTTTTGGTAAATGTTTATTGAATGCCCCCTCTGTGTCAGGCATTGGGCTAGGTGCTGGAGTTTGAAGTCATGACATGATCAAGAACATCAATTCTATCTTGAAATCTTGGCCAATCATTGAGTCTGTAGAGAGTTGTAGTCATTCAAGTATGGAGTTGATAAAAGATAAGAGAACTTGAAGAATCAAAATGAACAGGGACAATGATCGAATAAACATGTGAACTAGGGGAAAGGCCTGAGATTACT